GGAAGGTGTGTCAATTCGTGTTAAAAGATGATTTGATTACGGTTCACGGGTGAATTAAAGAGAATGAATACTCATTGAACTCTCGAGTCTACATTTGTACACACACATCAAAGTTACACTTATAACTCGATAAGCTTATTCAGTTTGTATAGAAGAGAGAGAGAGAGAGAGAGAGAGAGAGACAGAGAGAAAAATTATAATTACATTTTTTAATTACTGAGATATTTTACATTTGCGAATATTAAGATCTCAGAATTGCTTTGTCAAATTAAATAGATATTTCAAAAAACAAATGACGATCTAATTGTCACGTAATAACACCTTGTTTTTTCGTCAATATCTTTTTTTCATGCGCGCTCAACTTCTCTAACGGCTCTCTTGAATAATTTCTCATAAAAGCGTGCTTTTTTCTCGCGGAAAAACGACATGAAAAGAAAAATTAACAGCGCGGACGAGATAGATTAAATTTGCAAAAAGGAGCACAGAACGCGCGCGTGCACGCGCGTTTTTCCCCGTGCGGAAATCGCGAAAGCTCTCTGACGCCCGGCGCTTTATACTACGGCTTAACTATCCTTTGATATTATCTCCAACGGTGGCTCTACTTTGTCTCTCTACCGACGACTCTTTACGACCGGTAACCTCTGGCCCTGTACTAATACAGAATCAGGGTTTGATCTCTTTGACGAAAAAATACGAACTAATTGGCGTGTATACCGCGCCCGGCATTCGTTAGTCACGATATTCCCCAGGAGACGATCCAGATTCTGGAGAATCGCCTTTGAGGCTGGAATTATTGTTTTTCGTGTTACTTTCCTATATATATATAACGGAGAAGAGCGACGGACTCTCGGCTCGCGATTCGCGACGCGATAATTGCTATATCCCTTGCGCGCAGCGCGCAATCCTCTGTATTCTTTAATTCCTCTTCGTGTAATTACGCATTCGCGCGGCGGAGAGATTTCCGCGAGATATATACCTATATGCGCGACTCGCTACGCGGGATATTAAGTTACACAATTCTTCGCGTCCGAGAGCATTATACCATCCGAACGTTCTCTTCATCTTATGCGTTTATCTCCGAAGGAAAAGGAAATAGATACGCGTTGCGCGATCTCGAGTATCGCGTTATTTCGTTCAGCTTAACTCTGAGGTATCGCTCGGGTATACCGGGGGATCATTTGTAAAACGATACCGTGTGTACACTGCGGCGTTCCTGATTTAACAGATTCTTACACCAAGCTGCGTTAGGTGTTCCTTTCATCCAATCAGTTCCCGTGAAATTACCCCCGGCACGGAGTACCGGACACGGACGAGGCTTCGCATTTCCGAACGACGCGCGCCGAATAGTTTCTCTATCTCTCCTCGCCTACCCTATCCCGTTTCGACGATTCTTCATGTATACGTGCGATACACGCTGCGGATGGCGTATACACGATTCGAAACGTAGCTGCGTACGTAACTACGCTAAACATCGCCTAATGAACGCATACGGGCGGCTCTTTGGCACAAAGGTTTCTCTCTACGCTTTATATAAAGCATGGGTGAGTTATTTACATTGTGGTCGACAGAATTTCAAGCTGCGCGAGGTTCTAATGAACCTTCACATCCTCCACCCCCCCCTCATCTCACGCCGCGACTGCAAACCCGCGCCCCTCACCTCACACGCATTCGTCTGACCGAACGAGTTTTCGATATACGAATCCGTTCAGTGTGTCGAGCCGTTAATTAATTAAAATCCCGAAGCGAAATTCGCATCGTCGCGAATATTTTAGATACCTTCCAAAGCTTTATGAGGAAAATACTTCAAACTTCCTGACGCGCTTTCCCACTCTCCCCGTACGCTCCGCGTCCATGTTCACCCTCGGGAAACGGGGATTCATTGCGAATAGCTGTAGGAACCTTCGCCGCACGCGAATATTTACGAAGGGCGGCCGCGAATGCGGCGAAAAAAACGAGTATTTAATGAAATGTACGTAGAGACGGAGAGAACGAGACGAGTAAGAAGGAAAGAGAAGAAAGATCCAGAAAAGGTATGCCACGAAAATCATAAAAATACCGTGAACCAGAAAATCGTAGAATTTCAATGATCAGCGTTTAACCGCGCGTTCAATTTTCCTCGGCAACTCGTCGCTGACGCGAATATTTTTTTGCGGCTGAAATAGTCACTAGCTTGTAATTAATAAGCCCTCGTATACATTCGGGCGCAACGTGTGTTTGTATATTCATGTGTTCACAAATTCGGAAATATTCAGAAGCCGCATGAAAAAAAAATGCATCGCGGCAGAATAAAACCAACGCCCCGCTATATATTATTAAATCGTTCGAAATCACGGCATCGTTATTCAATAGAATTTTTTTTCATAAAACACGCTCGTTAGAAACTTCTTTAAATATAAATTTACTTGTTTTCATTGAAAAAAAAAAAAAAAAAAAAAAAAACAGTAGTGCGCGCGCTCGCGCGAACAGTCATTGATTAAATCTAAATGGCAATGTCTACTTTTGCGTAAATTTACACATAATATATTTGATAATCTGAGATCATGCAAAGCGCGAGCCAGATCCTGTTTTGCAACCTGACTCTCGCCGTAGGATGTAAATTCGTTGGCATAGAACAGCAACGTAATGCGCAGCACAAAATCACGGGAATACGCCCCCGGGTGGCTTATGAATACTCCAGCAACGACGACAACCACTTTTCGAGATAACCTTCAGTTCCCTAATCTCTGTATTCGCCTCCATCCTTTCTACGGTCCATTATTCTCTCCTTCTCTCTCTTTCTGTTTTCCTTTCTCTCTCTTTCTTTCACTTTACCTCACTCTCTCTCTCTTTCTCTCTCTCTTTACCCAAACTGTAAGCTTGAGATTAAGGTCTTTTAACAACTAACATGTCGTGTTCATGTCCAGCTGAGTAATTACGAATATGAATCCCGACAAGCTTTGAAATTCACGCGAGACTTTATTTAGCAGGGTCGCGGTTCGTAAGAATTTCGCTGACTCTTTGGCTAATTATCGCCAAAAAAAATAACATTCCGTTGTTCATCGTTTAAGTCGAGTTTATATTTATTAAAAAAAAAACTATCGTTAGACTCATTCTTTTTTTTTATCAAGAAAATAATAATTAATGTAATTATTATTATAAGATAAGAAACTGATAATTAATTAGAGAGAATACAATAGACAAAACTGCAGCATGCTGCCTGCATCTCTGTGTTACTTCTTATATTGTCTTCTTATATTTGTCGAAGAAACAGAGTGAAGTTGCGTGGTAATTAATTACGGACTTCAAACTCGTTAAAAGTGTTTGCAAGATGTCGATTATCAACTGTCAACAACGACGGGTAATATACTTCTATTCTTGTTTTTCTCGATGGCGTTTATTACCGGCGACTTTTATCTAAAATGTTAGTTTTCACAATCTAACGCGCAGAAGTGTCTTAATTAGACAGGAAGAACTTTAATTAGACATTACATTTAAGTGACATCTTCATGAACGACTTTAGTTGAACGTGACGATAAGATCGCAAGAGAGAAGAAAAACTCAATGTTATAAAATAATACTCGAACTTAACTCGTATAATTGTGGTATTAATGATTAAAACCGCGTATTTTTAGTTAAAAAAATATAACATCACATTTGCACATAAATATTACACGTTTTTGCAAATATTATCGTTTTCCTTATTAAACGAGGTTTAATATAAAAATGTGAAATAAAATTTTAATTTTTTTAAAACAAATAGAAATATGCCGAGTTTCCCCGTGAAGTTGCCAATTAAATTGTTACATGTCAGCACGGCGTAATCACTTCTTTTTTTGTGTCATATATTCAGCTTTCCTCTCTTCATCCACTTACGCTCTTCAATTATCAAGCTCAACTGTTATGCGCGCAGTTTGCGGCGTCCCGATAAACTACCCTCGAAAATCCCCGGTCGGGACGAAGCACACCAACCCCGAAAAATACGCCAACCACGAAGGCTTAACATTTCGGGGGTGGTATTATCCGCGAGTGGTGGCAGCCAAATCCCCAGGTTCTGCACAAGCCAACGCTTGGCTGGAGCAGATTGGTTGAGGAGATCAACGTGGTGGGCAGCGAGGACTCGCTGTGCGCGCTTCCGGGCTAAGTTTAATCAGCCGTACCTATATACTTTGAGCTTGTACTGTGTTACCCCACGACTGCATCTTAGCGCGACGAACTTAATGGCATCTATTCTCGAGAGGAATTGATGCGACTAGAAACTCACTGTAAAATCCGCCGCTAAACCGCGGAACAAAGTTGTACGTCGTGTCGTCGCCGGACGAATGGGCGCGCATTAAACGTGCGCGAGTTCGAGGAGCACGACCCCCGATATATCGTCGCCGCATAAAGTTCCGCGAACTTGCGTACCTACATTAGACGATCGGTCGCCACCGCGGACATTTCTATACGACTCGGTTAGAAAGCCCGAAGGAAAACTAATTTCAATATTGAAACTATGTTAAACAAATCCTATCTAAAAGATAGTCACTCACTAAAGTGAAGGATCACGTGACAGGGACTGTACTTTAGTGTCACGTGTTGTTTTTTCACTCTTTCTTCTCGCTATTTTTCGAGTGTAATAATTTTCATGCGTTATTTCTGACATCTCTCATATGTACATCACATTGTTTACGGCTGCCCGGTATTGGTCATGAGCGCCGTATTATATGTATCATATGATTTGTAAGACGTATAATATTCTAGCTGTCATTGCGATGACACAGGTTGTGTTCAATGATACAACACGTTAAAATAAAAACAATAACAGCGTGCGCACTTGTGTTGTGCTAGTAAAACAAAAAAAAACTCAAAGAGAGATGTCACACATATAAACGAAAATATCAAGAAATACTAATTATGATCAGATATAACATGTTGATGTATCATTTTATATAACAGAAAAATAATACTGACACACACATCTAATTGTTGTAAAACCTCTCGTGCACACAATCACGCAGTTTTATTTCGAAATGTTGATTTACCGTTGTTGTTGATTATTATTTGCGGTGGGCATCGGAGTCGGCACCCTAGGTGGTGGGACTGGTATAGCTTTTCTTCGACCCCCACCGGTCTGATGCACCGTCGGTGTCACTCTTCCGGTGGGTGCTATTCGACCGGCAGTTCGTGGCCTTTCCGTCCGCATATCCATGATGTATATCTGTAAAAGACAAATAAAAATCTTTTTGTTAATTAAACGCGTTCTCTTCTGTTAATGAAAAGATCATTATTTTTGAAAAAAAAAAACAAATTATATGTTCGTTTAATAATATACTTGTGATTTTTTAGCGGAATTAATAATCAATTATTTTGTTATCAAACAAGCAAAGCCCATCGTGGACAAAAGTATCGCTTCGCAGTAACTTTATATAGCGTAACGCCGAAGATCACAGAAATGTGATGATAAACTTCGAAAAGAGTGAATGTTTGGAAAGGACTGACAAGAAAAACGAAGAAGAGACTACCGGGACCGGGTACGACTACCAACGTAAAAACTTCGTGGTGTATGCCGTCAACTTCGTAGTTCCATCTCTCCCTTGCGCGCGTCTGTTTCCCTTCGTTTATTCAAGCCAGTTTAACGCGCCAAAACGGGAGTCTGGATACGATTCAGTAGCGCTACCATTAACTCTAGGATTACCACCAAAATATATGTGCAAAAAGTGTGTTCGAAAGAAAAAGTCACATACGTGTGTTGTGATATCGATTCTTTTGTTCATGAATTTTTTTTTCGATAAACAGACGCGCGATTCAAGAGCTACACACAAAAATATAAGACGGAAACTTGTTTTCTTCATCCGCGACTGTATTATATCCGTACGATCCACCCCAAAAATTATTTTTTTTTTTTAAAAGAAAGAAACGTTTTGTCCACAGATAACACACAGGTAGGTGGTGCGCATTGAAGGAGAACTCTCTCGCGAACGACAGTTGTGTCCCACCCCCCTACAGACGACAGCAGAAAGAAGCCCGTATAATCTCGCCGGTAGTGCAACATTGTTGTCGCGGATGCTTTAGCGTCGCGGACGCGGAGGACGCGAACGGCGCCGGCAAAGGAGAAGAGAAGGAAGAAGGAAGGGTAGAAACGACGACGGTCGGTACGCGATCATTATTTCCCGACGTGTGTAGTCCACCGAGATGGGGATGCCGGCGAACAATGCGCGCCGGCAAGTTGGTTTAAATATTCAGCCTCCGGCGCGGATACGCGCCATTCGCGCTAGCACGGATACGGCAACTTGAGACGAAGCCATGTACGAAGATAAAGAGACAAGAACGATACTTCCTGAACGAGTTAATGGAGGTAAAAGCTACGACGCTTCGGGGACGCAATAAAATTAAAAATTGTTAAAGAGATAAAATGCATATGTATATGTATATCATGTAAAATGATATTAAAAAATGTTTTTCTTTCACTCACACACATTTATACAGTTGCTATTTCAAATACTTTTTTCATCATTTTTTTCTTCTTACATACAGCTTTTGTAACGGAATATTTTGCTGCGCAAAAATATGAGACAAAAATATAGTTTTTTGTACGCGGAAAAATATTCTTTTGCTTCCTAAAAATAATTACTCGCTAAATTGTTTGAAAAATTTCAACCCTGCGCTGAAAACTGCCTTTCTACCTCGCTACGCACAACGCTCCCTCGCAATTCGCGCGTCTCGCGTGTTTGCGCCCGTAAGCGAGCATGAAGATTTCACGATTGCGCGAAGTACGCGCGCGCGCGCAAAAAAAAAAAAAAAAAAAAAAGAAAACTCGTTTTGCTGCAGCAAAAATAGAGACAAAATATCGCGATGTAGGGCTACCGTTTTCTCGGAGACGAGCCGGGGCAAAATAAACTCTCGAGCGCGCCGGAACGTCGACAACGCCGGCGGCTTCACAATGGGGAGCATCTGCTTAGCAAATTGCGAAAAATAATAACGTTTGCGCCCAAATCCGTGGCCCGGAGCGCCACGTCGTCGGAGTCTGCGAAGCTACCGCGGTATATACATCGTAACACAATAACGCCCACTCGTGAAACTGCGAACTCGGAGGAGGGTGAATACGAAAGCGAACGACGCGGGAGAGGGTGAGAGGTGCAAAACGAGCGCTATACGGGAGAGCGCTCCCCCTTCGTATATGTATACGATGGTGGTGGTGCACCCGCGAAAACAATATGCCAACGTCGTATACGCACGCGGAAGATCGCGTACACGCGTGTGCGCTCTCGTCACGCGCGTGACACCGAGTCACCCAGCCGAAGGCGATTCCGGGGACTCTTCTTTGTGACCCTCACTTCCGCACCTTTGACGGCGAACCGTTTCACCATCAGCCATGCGTGTATCCTCGTCGAGAATTCTACTGAGAAACTTGAAGCTTCAGAATTAACGTAGCGATCGATCGCATTGTAAATCATTCGGCATTAAGGATTTTTCTTATCAAGCTTCTTCGCCTCGCGGAAAAGTGTTCCGTATATCGACGGCTTAGCGCGCGTGTTTGCCAATCTAATCTTCGCCTTTCGGTGGGCATAATCTTGAGAAAAAAAATCAAAACCAATCTGCGTTCATATCCGGTGTCTTCGATCTTCGAGTTATCTTTGGTTTTTTTTGAAAAATTATCAATAACATTAAAACCAAGATGATGACTCAGTTTTTTTATTGTCACGGGAATTCAATTCGTAGTGTATACGCGTTGTCACAGTAAATCAGAGAAATACTATCGCGCACATACCTACATAAATTATCGATCCCCAAATCACTCGCGTTCGATGGAAACGCACAGCCAATGTTTAATGCGACATAATACGCTGGCATGACTAATTCGTGCCATTATCATCGACGCTAATCGCCATCTATCTACGAGGATAATGAATACCGCAAATTAATAACGTTCGATTGACACGTAACGTCCGAGCTTCATCCGCCGACGGACGCGCGCGCGCGCGCGCGCGTGCACATTGTGTTCCTAACAAGAGCCGCGCGCTTCCCCAACCCCCCATCAACTCTTTCGATAAAGCGCACGCGTGTTACACGTCGATTGTTTACGCATACCTTCAAGCAACAATCGGGGGGAGAAAAAAATGTCATCAACCAGAAAAGCTATTTGCAGTTTGACAAGCGGAATCAGAATAAAAAAAAAATGATTCATATTTGACGAAAATCGAATGAATGTTTGATCAGGAATAATAAGCAAATAAAATCGGTGAATTGTTAGGTACCGACGATATATAATTGCCATCTATTTTCTCGCAGATTTCACAAGCGCAATTACATATTAACTAACTCATGCTTGATTAACAAGTAATATATTATCTGGAAAATATAATAAATTTTATATGTATATACGCATGAAACTTACACACACACACACACACACGTTCGAGAAATTCAAAAATTATTATTTACAAAACTAAAGAAGAGTATCAATTATATCGAGAGAATTATTTTGTTGACAAACACGCTGATAATGTTTAATACAGAATTAGTCTGATTATCTCGCTGTATTATCATCGATGCCGATTGCCACGAGCGAATACGACAAATTAATTACGGTCGATTGACGTTGTAATGTCCCTAACCAGAATGTATTTTGCATTCGCCTAATCCCTTTATTACATCCACACGGTGCAATTGTTCATTGCACACGCGTCCTTCCGCTCGTGAGAGAACGGGAAAATGTTATTAACGAGTGAGAGAAAACGGAAGAAAAAAGATATTGCGTTCTCTCTCGCAAGAGAGTTGGAGCGAGAGAGAGAGAAAGATAGAGAAAGAGTGAGGATCGTATTCAAAGGAGAATTTATCGCCGATATTTTCCCGGGCGACGTCGGCGTCGGCTTCTCTGTCGATTCCTATTAATCATCGGAGCACAACTGCGCGTACCCGTATCAACACGCGGCCGAAGATACATGCCGGGAGTTTCTCATGCCACGACGCGATCGCCACATGTGACCACCGTCCGACGTTCTCATGGCGATCGCATATCGGAGCATCACGTGCACGACACGCGTGTATGTGATTGCTCTTCACTATTCTTTCTCTTTTTTGATAACATCTACGTTCTTGCGCGACAACGAACAGCATCGATTGCGTATCGACAAACGCATTAATTTGTCGATACGCGAAACGTATCTAAAGTGCAATAAATATGTTTGCATATATATATATATATATATTACAAAACTTTTTTTGTTAAATATAGATTATCCACGCTGTGATTCTTTCACGTGATTAGCATCTTTCAGCTACATGTGTCCTTTGATGTTTCTCGTTATTTTACTTATTAGATAAGCATTTATCGTCACGCGGAGAGAGAGAGAGTTTCCCGAAAACTTGCACGCGCGCGGCTTTAACACACGTACAGTTTTCCCATCTCCCCCTCGATGTTTGTTTAAGCAAGTAAATGATCTATGTATCTTGTCCGCAGTCCGAGACGCGAGCGAGCAGCAGACTTTATAAATTCAGGACAAATTAGTTTATCTTCGGGTGATGTTTACTATACACTAAAAAGCCGGCGGAACCGCACAGCCCACCCACACACCGCTATATCAAAGGCCCCGCTAAAAATATAACGCGTTTCTCATCTCGCAACACCCCGTCCCGCTTTTTCTCGAACCACCCTCTTCAGACAGACGTCCGTCCGGGAAGTTGACGTAGAGAATGAGAAGCGTAATTGTCCAATGCTATCATCGTGACTGTGTTTTTTTTTTTGCGGTCAAATATAGAATATATGAAATATTTAAGAGAAATTATTGGTATAATATAAAATCATGAATTATATATAGAACTATCAAAGCCCCGACGCCGATGAGTACACTTTTAATATTCATTAAAAGATAATTGAAAATTAATTCATCTTAATAACCGTAGACAAACGCGCGCGCGTTATATCTTCTAATAAAAAGTCTACAATATTCTCTCTTAAAATACACACATGAATTTTTGGTGAAAATTTTAATATTAAAAAACTTTTTTTTTTGTTCAAAACTTCCACTTCGAGATTTTAGCATTTAATCTTGAGTCAAGAGACTGATTAAGACCGCCGAGTGGTTGAATCTGCTTTTAAACTTAAATTAAAAATCGCAACATCACAGTAGGTACAGAACTCGGGGATCTTGTTTCAGGAAAAAGTTGCTCTCGTCTAAAGATTCGTACGTATAAACGCGGATAGTGGTTTTAATATCTCATCAAAGTCACACAAATTAAAAGAGACAGCAAATAAATCGCAAAGTTTATTCTATTCTTATTTTTTTGCAAAAAAATGTAGAGAATAACAACATTCACTCACCATGTGCGTGTAAAATTTACAGCAATGCCGCGCGTAACTTTAATTATTTTTCTAACGGCAATTTCATAATATATATATTATTATCTAAACCAAACATTGTACTACGCGAACTATAATAGTCTAAAGCGAGTTATATATAATACACACACATATTGCCAATCGCATACACACACAATAGTCATTTAAATCAAGTTTAATACTATTATAAATTATATCTCATCGAAATATATTACAAACAGAATTATATTAGTGGAATAATTCTCTAGTCATTAAACTCACTCTCTCACTCTCTCTCTCTCTCTCTGTCTCTCTCTATAATATGCAATCTAATCAGGCAATATTTGTCGATTAGCAAAGATGCAATTAATGCAAGCTTACGAGTGCAAATTCAAAACAATGCTCACCATTTCTCCCGCGCTCGTCATTTTCACTTCAAACACGCAATCACAATTACGCAAAACCATAGTACACCTACCTCATATAACAATCGCATTTTCTCTCGCATTCTCCAGAGAAATAGAATTCAATCTCATTCGCCAGTAGTTTCCACAATGCGCAGCTTTGTATAAAGAAAATTATTTACGTGCTTTGTGTATGCGATATAATACCACAGGTATATATTACACAATTTAGATATACACAAGAATGTGGGTAATACTTTGCGTGCTCATATTTTTTTTTCTCTGACAAAAATTACTACATATCGATGTTTGTATGATTAATCGATATCGTTTAGCTGCACTTTCTCGCGCTCGTTTTTGCTGAATACTCATCTCTATCATACACGTTCGCTCAGCAGATGTGACAAAGTATTCGGCGCAGAATTATGATCGATGTTGTTTGTTATCGAAGGGGTTAGTGACGGTGTCAGTTTTCACACATGTGGTCAGCGTGGCAAATGGTTCGGCCGTTATTTTTCGTCAAACACAACAAACTAGCGGCGATCGCGATTTTATGTGCGTAACCTCTGATCGAATATATTTCAAACAACACATAAAGCGTGATCAATTTTTTTAAATTTCTATCAAACAAATTAAGCAATATGCAATATCAATCGATCTTTTTTTTACAAAAATATGTAGAACTTTGTTTTTTTGTGCGCGCGAAAAATGGAAAAAAATGTTTATTTTTTGACAAATTCGCGCGCGTGAGTTCCAGTATATTAAGTAATTTGTAAAATCGATTTTTTCAAAACCTAAGTCTCACACACAAAAAGATTTTATCTCGCATTTTCGCGACTTGTTTTTATATAACAAATTAACATACTGCGATCGTAATCTGAAAAGTTATACCGCAAGTTATTCAGCAATATCCTGCGCGTCCTTGTGATTCTCGGGCGATGCTCGAACCTTCTGGTAAGTGGGACATATGGCAAGCAAATATACGAGGAGAAAAAACAAATAGGTATCCCCCGCTTCGACTCCCTCAAACAATATCCCCGTGCCCCTTTAACAACGCGACCGCGGAACACGCGACAATGGCGGGGTTAATGAAAGACGTGGGTGCTAGTTATGGATGCCATAACTCAGCGCACAGACGGGGCGTCGCGCTGTTACGCCAGCCAAATCGGTTGGACTGCACCTTCATGTATGCGCGTCTCTCTCTCCACTTGCATGACTTCTGACTCACACCCCGCGGGAGTCCCCGCAAGAAATCGGGGATGGAAGAATAGCGATGAGCGGGGATGAATTCGCGTTAGTGCCAGACGCAGAAAGAGAGTGCGGAATAAAAATAGAATTTTGCTTAGAGCACATTCTGAATGTCAGAAAACCGCCGTGTCATCAACTCGTAAAGATTTTAAGAAAACTTTTTCACAACAAAAAACTAGATTGATCAATTACGAGATGTAAATCGTGTTTAAAAACACTCATCAAGAATTTGAAAAATATTGTTGGAAATACTTACTCAGACTAAAACACACACGCGTATATTTTTACGTAAAAATCTTATAAAACTGCGAATTGCAGTGTGTCTCAAGTTCTGTAATTTTTTTTTTTTTGACATTTTATAGCTATCAAAACGAGAGACGGTATGGACAAAGATCATTAGAAACGACCACGGAGAGATCTCAATATTTCTGTAAAGTCGACATTTAGCGAGACGCTAATTATTTACGCCACGCAGAGAGTTGTC